ATTGTAAACTTTTGAACAGATTTTAAGGTAATCCTTACCAGAGCTGTGCCTCATGCCAAAGAACAATTATTTAAAATATGATAATGATCCAGATCATGTTCCAGTGCAAGTCACAATATTGGATGAAATTTGCTGCTTAGCCGAGGTCTGCACACTCTGAATTCTTTATTTCATATTTTCTGAGGCCAAGGTGAAGCAAATAGAGCACTTTCTTAGGTAGAAAAGGTCCCTCCAAGATTTTAAATGCATCACAATATTAGGAGTTAAGTGAAATTAAATTCTTAAAAAAAAAAAAAATGGCTGCTGAAGTGCTTTGTGTGGGTTAGATATGACATATTTTTTTCAAACTAGAACATTTTCAGTTTATTTACACATTTTTAGGTTTTGGTTTTATATTCTTAAAAGAAATAAGAAAGAAATAAAAGAAAAAAATACTGTTATTGTTTTTTTTTTTCAAAGTGACCATTGGCTTTTTAACTTCTGAACATTAATTTCTGAATTCTAGCTAAAGTACTTCCCCAATAGGTTGGAGTGGGAGTCAGCTTATCTGATATATTCACTTATTGGATTAAGCTCCTCATGTTGATATGAAGCATCTAAACCTCATACAACAAACAAATGGAGTAGACCAACCAGAGTATGCTTCCTCTTTTAACTGTCTTCATCTTAAGAATGACAGACATCACAGAATGCTTTCTTTTTGTCCACAAGGGAAATTCCTTTGATAGTGTGAAATGGTAACGTTGGGTGCCTAATATCTACTGTTTGTCTAATTTGTTAGTAGCCTGGTTCCAGGTATTTGTTGTAACATTCTACATTAGAAAGATGCTGTGGCTTTATGTGTTTGTATATTGCTCATTTAGGGTCCTTTTTACTACGGTATAGGGTTTGGTGCTTTAATTAGGCTCTAAACAAGACGCTCCCAACTTTTTTCTCTCTCTTTTTTTTTTTGCTGCTTTGGTAAAACTGCTAAGTTGCCATGGGACTCGCACTGAATCATACCTGCGCTGGACATTTTTCTAGATGTATTCAGATGACTACAACCAAAACAACCCAGGTTAAAGGTTTAGCTGTATTCAATAAGAGCTTTCTTATCACTATAATAATCGGTCAAAGAAAATTATGTTGATTATAATATTTGATCAACTCATGTCAAATTTAAAGTATTCTATGGTTACTTCTCTTTTCAAAACTGCATAATTACCAAAACAAACTACTTAATCACATTTATGCAAAATGTAAGCAGGTTGAAACTAAAGATTTATACTTGGAGTAATAAATAGTAATACGAGCTGGCAATGGGATGTATTGATCAAACATGATTTTGAAATCTTAAAACTTTATTTTTCTTCAGAGTGAAGTGTGTCATGCACAAACACTTACGCTTACACCTACTTACTTAACATAACTTGTCAAAATGTTAATTTAGTTTCCCTTATAAAATCATTAAGTTACTCTCTCATAATGAAGATTAGCAGCAACTAAACTGGAATTTGTGATAATTAAAACAACAACAGGATCATGAGTGTTATCACCTTTACTGTAACTCCAATCATTGTAGTTACCTTTGTAAGGCTCATTAGATAAAACTATGAATTTGGTTTGAAGTACATTAAATGTGCAAAGCAACTGTTGGTACACAGTGATTTAGTAAAAAGGGAAAAACGTTTCTTAAATTCACTCATCAGGAAGTTCTATGAGGTCACAAAGGAGGAGCTGTTTTGACAATCTGACTTGAGAATCGCTTAAGCTTATTGACGGGATGATATGATAACCACTTCTCTACCTAAAAACCAGAGTCACCATTTAATAGTATATCCCATTCAGCAGTGTTGCCTCATTCTTGCCCATAGCTTGCACCTTCATTTGGGTCCTCATTTGATTCTTGTTTGGCATTGGGTTCAATTATTTGCTTTTTGTCTTCATTTACAGTACTGGGGTGCGTTTCACAAAGCAGGATTAATAAAAACTAAGTTTTTATTAATTCAATGAAATCTGGGGAAACAGAGTTTTCAAATTCACGTAGAGAGGTTACTCACCCTGTGTCTGTTACTATAGCACTCCCTAACCTGGTCCGAGGGAGGGTTTCTTTAATAAACTCAGAGTGTCCTTTGCCTCCATCCTTCTTAAATCCAATGTTTGATTTTCTGACACAGTCAGGAGGGTTCTGTCATTGTTCTGTACGAACACTAAATAAATCAGTCACTAGCTCCGGATTAAACATAAGGTGTTAAAAACACAAACATGCTATATCCTTTGGATAAGGATCAACGAAGGACCGGCATTAATTCACAGAAAATCAAATATTCATCAGGAGGAGGTTCAAAGACCACATACAGATCTCCTTTCTTATTCAAAAAGTTATTGTTTGAGCGCTACCGTTTCACCTCACAATCCATCACATACATCCGTGACCTTATCTGTCATATTTACAGCCTTAGATACTTGGGGAAACAGTTGGGGAAACAGGAGGGTAACATTAAAATAAACAGCTCCATATAAATTGGACAGAGTGATGCTCTTCTTTTTTACTGTGCATCTACGTTTCTCACTTTCAATCGGTGTTAGAAGTTGAAGGACTCAGGCCATAGCACATTTCCAAGTCGAGGGACTCCTCAGTCATTTACCCATTTGTGCACAAATTCACACACTTGATAGGGCAACCAAATTGTATCCACGAATCACACTGAGAAAAATATTAATGTCAACATCTATTACTTAGAATACATGGTAAAAATACATTTCTGTTTTCCTCAGTGTGGCAATACGATTGTGTATAGTGAACAGTGGCCAATCTCAGACGGGTTGCTTTGTCCGGTGGGTAACGTCTTCAAAAGGGCAAACGTTGATAGGAGCTCACAGAAACAGGTCCAGACGAGGAGAGCAGGGAGAGCAGAGAAGAGCCCTCAAGAACAAGCCCTCATGTGTAGAATATATTGGTGTCCTGCTCTATTTGTGCATTTAACATGTTAAACATTCGCAGGAGGAGTAGTTTATGAGCATTTGTATGAATTAAGCCTGCTCGTAGGCATATATATTGCATGTGTGGACTTTTGGCAGAATACTGAGACCATAAAAAGCCGCTTGTATTGCCACCTTTAGGATTTAATGCACATAAAAAGTAAAGGCACCATTAGGGCGCACAGTTTTGTTTTACCTAAGATAAAACTAGAGACCTAAATCCATGGTTTTAAAGTTTTAAATGTATTGTTAGTTTATTTGTATATGGATTTACATTTTTCAGTGTTTTGATTTTTGTTTTATTTCATTTGGCATATTATAAAGGAACCCTTTAATGATATAAAACCTACATTATTGCACTTTGTCTAAAAAAAAGGAAAAAAGATATGTTTTCTCACACCCCTCAACTATATTTAAAAAAAAAGTCATTATTTTATCAATAAAAATTCATTATTATCAAAAAAGAGTCATTATTTCATTGTTCATTACAATTCAACATAGTCATTTATACCATTTTGTAAATATCTCGCTCATTTATTCATGTTATGCTCCTCCTGCAGTTACACTGGTAACCCCTAGGGGGCGCGCCCTTCACATTGGGAATTTCTGGACTGGCAGTTTTTAAACCTTGAGCCCTTCTTTAGAGAAAAAACAACTTTGCAGAAATTTAACCCATCTCAATACAATGAGAAAAAATGTTAGTCAGTTTATTAAATAGAATTCTGAGTGCGATCTAACGGAGCAATAGTTGTCTTTCATGCAGAACTCCCAACTAGAGAAATGAACAGATTTACAAATCACATAAATTCTCATCTTTGGAAAAGAGGGAAAGTTCAATTGATGTATTATAAAGTAATTCATCATGCTTAATTTACACCCTAGGGGAAAATTTCTATTCAAGCTAAAAGACAACCAATGTTGGGATTATTGTTCAACAAATGCCGTTGGCAATTTTCTCCATTTGCTGGGGCAATTTCTTCTTTCTAAGGAGCTTAAGCTCTGCACTCTGAGGCTGTTAAGATAATACCTCAAAATCGCATTAATTGTTAATCTATCCATCAATATCCATTGTATAACATTAGCAGATGTTCCAGCTGCCAGCAGCAGCTGTAAAAAAGTACAGTCTGTTGCTGAAAGAGACTGTTTTTTATCCTTCAGAGACAATTAAGACAAATTTCACTCGAAGGACAAGGATGTAATCTTGTCAGGTTTTGCTGGAGCAAAACCTGACAAGATTACATCCTAATCCAACTTTTAGCCTCATCAGTATTTCGTTACATCTCTCTTTTGCATTTTCATTAGTAAACTCTGATATTTTTTCTACATGGAAATACAATATGCTCTTGGATTAGATCATTTGACTAATCTTTATATCCTGTAAAGGTTCTGCACTGCTTAAAGCATTTATATATCTATTTTGTACCTTCTGCTGATAGGTGATACATTTACACAAATATTTGCATATTTTTGATACCATGACAGTATTCATAGAAATAGAGAAGCAAAAGAAAAAAAAAAAAAATAATAATTCAAAATGTTACTTACTATTATCAGTATATGAGTATCTTTGTTTTATCAAAAAAAGTGAGCTAGTTGTTCTGCCCTTTTTTGTGCGTTGGTTATGAGTATGTTGTTACGATTGACTTATAGATTTTTTTTGTTTTGTGTGGTAGTTTTTAGTTTATTCTTGTTATCATGTGGTTTTTAAGTTTTTTTTTGTTCACCTTTAGAGCTTCTGTTTAGAGTTTTGCTTTTTAGGTTAAGTTCTTTACTTGGGTATTTTCTGTTTTGGTCTTACACCATCTTTGCTTTTGCTTTTACTTTTTAGTTCACTTCTCCATTCTGATATTAGAAAGGTTTTTAATTTACTTTAGGCCTTGTAGTTTTTCTAAAGCGTTTAGTCTATTGGTTAGTATATGAAACAAATGAGAAAATGACATGATAACTAAATCTCTGTTACAGTCTGGTCATGTGTTTTATTTCTTCTTCTGTCACTTCTTCTGTTTTTTCAAGGTAGGCAATAATTAGAAAAAAAAATGTACACATGCTTCAGGATATTTTATTCAACTGAATATTGTAACATATACACTGAGAAATGTTTTTTTTTTTTTTTTGCTTTTTTACTCTGCAAGAATTCTATTTAGGTAAAAATAGATTTAAAAAAATGTAACAGCTATTTAATCTGTTTAGGAATTATATTTACAACACAAATAACATTTCAACTGCTATAAAGCTTTGTTCATTGCAAGAACAAAGTTTTGTGCAGATCAGAATTTTTTTCCCCCAACCAGAGAAATAGGCGTTTATGCCGGAGCCACAGAGGACACTTCTGTCTTTGATGTGGACACTTCAGAACCATCATCCACCTGTTTTCCAAAGAGCTGCATGATGCATGTGCGGAACTGCAAAAATAGAATTAAGGTTAAATAAAACAAAATATATTTGTTATGCTGGCTAAAGAAATGTAACAACATGATTGTTGTTCCAACCTGTCGGTTCATGAAGACATAGATAACTGGGTTGTAGATGGTGGCACTCTTGGCAAAGTATGCAGGCATTGCAGCAGCCAAAGGATGGAAAGAATAACCAGGGTTGGCTGCAGCAAAGCAGGCGAAAAAGGTGTAAGGTCCCCAGCAGACACAGTAAGCCAGGATCATCACAACAACCATCCTGGATACTTCCCTCTTAGCCTTCTGGGTTGACTCAGATTCCTTCTGCTGCATAGCAACCTATAGCCAACAAAACAACAGGATACATTGTACCAAACTTTTAGAAATGGTCTGCTTATCCTAAGGTTACAGAAAAGCTAAACTTACAGCACGAATGGCCAACCACACGGCCAGGTAGCATAAGATGATGATGGCCAGAGGAATGATGCAGCATGTAATCATAAGAACAATCATGTAGGACTGAACTCCAGGGTCTTCACTTCCACTGAACACATCAGGTCCACAGGATGTCTTCAGTCCATGGGGCCAATACCTGATGACAATATTTCAGGATTTAAACAATAAAATCTTCCCTTAATGATTATAGAAGATTTTCTTTGAGATATAAAGACCATATAACCAGAGAACCTACCTGCTCCATCCAAAGATGGGAGGAGCACACCACACAGCAGACCAGACCCAGGAGAACACAATTCCAGCTATGGCCCATTTGGCATCAAACTTGACGTTTCCAAAAGGTTTGCACACAACTATCCATCTCTCCCAAGAGATGATAGTCAGGGACCAAAGAGCAGCAATACCTTTGGAGAGTAAAATGTTCAAGTTGTGAAAACAAGAATATTCTTTTAGTTAGATGTAAATTAATTTACAGGTCTTCATCATGCAAAAACAATCTGAAGACTTACCACAAGTTGAGACGATATAGCCTTCAAAGACACACATTGGGTGTCCCAGAATGAAATATCCAAAAAACTGATTACACACGCTGATGGTGCTGGCAAAGACCGTCTCTCCAAGATCAGCAATAGCAAGGTTGACAAGAATCCAGTTAAGGGGATGACGGAGTTTCTTGAACTTTGCAGTGGCCACCAAAACGAGGCCATTGGTGAAGACTGATAGAACGACCACAAAAAACATCCATACTGTAGCAACGTTGTAAACCCACCGAGGAGCAATATGGTAGTTTGGTCCCTCAAAAGGATCTGGAAGCAAAGATTCACACATCAGAATCTGCAGTAGTGCACCATTCTAATTTAGAAATGATTCTAGACCAAAAAGTGTTTTTATGTCTAGCATCTAAAAATATGTTAATTTTAGATTCAGACTAATATAGTTTGTGCACAAATAGAAATAAAGTTATAATCAAATGAAATAAGAAACATCACTACAGCTAATGTTAATCATGTAAGCTGTTGTTTAAATGTCATTTCTTAAATTGCATGTCACTCAGCTAGGTTTCAGATTGCCAAACTCTACAAACACATCAACTCTACATCAGTCTCTATAAAAACACCAGGACTAAACATGAAACCGTTTGATATAAAAAACATGCCTCTGGTATGATTGCTGTTTGTGTACGTGAATGCAGAGCCCCTCGTTGTATCTTCATTGTGCCGCCTGGCAGCAAACACCTGTGCACCCCATTCCTCTGCCATCCTGGGTTTGGAAGGAGATACTCAGCTGTCGTACCTTCCTTTCGCTCGTTCAGGTGCTTTACCTCAGACTTCAGCTTATATACCCGCGCTTTACTAAACTCTGATGGGATTACTTTAAAATCATATTAAACCCGTGGTCAGCCACTTGGCAGAGATGCTCAATCCTAATCCAAAACACATATTATAAACTGTATGTAAAACAATCTCCTAATGATATTAAAAGACTCAGGATTTCAATTCAGACTACATTTATAGATTAAATTATGTTAAATTATGTTAAAATTATGTATTCTGTTATGACATTAGCACATAATAACAACACTGTCAAATGTTGCTCAGCAATTGGGAAATTTATTCTCTTTAAACATTAAACCTATCAATAAGTTTAAAGTTGGAATTTTGAATTTGAAGTGTTAAAAAAAATAAATTCAGATTGTGTGTGATGCTGTGGGTTGCTTAGGAGTCAGACCTTAAACCAGATTTAGAGGCCAAGAGGAGGTCCTCATTCTAACTGAGGCGGGTACACTTAATGACACGCATAGCAGGTAAGGCATCTCTAATCCCTCCGGAAAGAAGCTTCACCTGAACGTGTTGGATGTTTTGACCCAACTTAGATGCAGCAAGTAACGTCACAGCCATTAAAGCCAATGAGGATGTGCAAAGAAGATTTGAAAGACACATTCCGGTTAATGAGGGTTTTACCGTTTAAAGCCAAGTTTTTGGACAATACTTTGGTTTGCTATAATGGATGAAGCAGTGATTTAAAAAGGTTATTGTTTCATGACGGTGCTTATATCTGATCTTTTTGAGGTTGATTTAAAGACTACAGCCAAAAACAGGGGATGTTTACAGACATGAGATTAGACAGATATTTCACTAAAACCTTATATGGAAGTGTAGAAAATACTTAATGTGCCTTGGGAAAGTCCAAGAATAATAAATGTGTAACCTATAAAAGACATTTTATTCAACAAAGTATATATTTTAAAGTAGTTTTGGTATAGCAGCATGACTAGTAGTCTAAGAAATCTAAAACTCTTTAAAGTTGTAAAGAAATGGGATATTAACTTAAAATTCATAAATAGCCTTAATGTTTAGCATAATTAGAATGTAGTGTTTTCAAGTTGCTCAAGTAATTATTTACCTATCCAATGATTAAAAATAAATCCTAGTCAAAGTGAAGTCATGACTTTAAGACAGTAGGAGAATGTTTTTCAGGAAAAATCAAGTGCATGACAATTTATTAAACATTTCTAGATATTTATATATGTATGTGTATATATATATATTTAAATAGTATTTCAGTCATGCAGTTACTACAAGCTAGTAATTGACACAAAAACCCTGGTTTATTTAGGGAGAACATTTTATTTTTTAGAATATTTTACTTTACTTTTAATCACGTAAGACGGTAAGAATAGTAAAGTGATCATAAATCTGATTTTGAATCATCATAAACCTCCCTTCTCAGTCTGAACACCATTTTATTACTATCCTGCCAAATCTACTCCTATATATTCTGACCAACCAGCAAGGCAACAGATCTATAAACTGCACAAATGTGCAGCACACTATAGAACCAATTAATAAAAGTGTTCTTTTCTTTTTTTTTTTTTTTTTGCAGTTTAAGCAAGCGATTAAGCTGTAGAAAAGGGGATTTCAAGGTAATCTAAAAAAGAAAGAATAAATTCTTTTGATATTTTAAGGAGTTATTTGCATAATAAATACATAAAGAAATAACCATTTGTATTTGTGTTCCAGGATCTATCCATGTTAAGCCCTTGCTCCACATTCGAGTTCTAATGGTTTTGTGACACCGTGTCCTGTAGATAAACCAGAAGGCAACCAATATGTCAGATTAAACCATTACACCAGCTTTGGTTAATCTATTACCTTTAAAATAACTGTACGTTTGAATGGTTTACGGATTACGGAGAGGATGTGCCAGAGCTAATTGGACTAATTAATATAATGGAACAACCTGAGGTGTACTTTTAATCTGATTTGTTGTTCTGACTTGAGTAATTTTCAAGTGAATTGTCAGGAATCTCAGTGTACAACAACACAAAGTTCTCAAGTTACCTCCCTTGCTGTAGCACAATACTGTTAGGGTCAAAATTATGCATATTGCCTACAAACTTCAGACTTCAATATCCTCTTGCCTTATATATAATCATACAATTTTGCATAGATTCAATTCAAAGACTATAGCTGATGTGCTGTAAAAAAAAATAATTGTTGCAAATTTTTAAACCTTATCCCGGGTTGAGCCAGTGAGTATAATATAGGCCTATACTCTATGACCAATAAGTTTAAAGTAATTTAGACTACACAGTAAATTGCAGAACAATTTAAAGGCTCTGGTGGGAGCAAAGTCATGACTGGACTTCTCTGTCTACAAGTGTGACTTTTTCCACTTTATCATCCCACAGTCCACCACAAGGTTATTTAGTCTCCAGGCCAAGGTATATGTAGTCCAAAATATTTTAAAGTTTATATATTCATTTTTGGGTCATGGCCAAAAGAACGAGATCACGGATACAAGCAGCTGAAAAGAGTTTTCTCCGTTGTGTGTCTGGGCTCTCCCTTAGAGATAGGGTGAGGAGCTCAGTCATCTGGGGAGGACGCAGAGTAAAGCCGCTGCTCCTCCACATCAGGAGGAGTCAGTTGAGGAGGCTTGGGCATCTGATTAGGATGCCTCCTTGTGAGGTGTTTCAGGCACATCCCCCAGGGAGGAGGCCCACGGGGAGACCCAGGACACGCTGGATGGGCTATTTTTCTCGGTTTCTCAGCTGGCCCCGACGACCTGACCCCGGATAAGGGGAAGAAGATGGATGGATGGATGGATGGATGGATGGATGGATGGATGGATGGATGGATGGATGGATGGATGGATGGATGGATGGATGGATGGATGGATGGATGGATGGATGGATGGATGGATGGATGGATGGATATTCATTTGTTTCATTAGGCTGCTCCTGCTTTGGTTAAAAAAAAACAACACAGACATAACACAAAATAAATAAATAAATAACAGACCCATGCTGCTCCCTTTACTTTTACAAATACCCAGATAGGCCTACATACTTGGTTTGGTTCTTCTTCTTCCTTGGGGTTGCAGAAATTGGCTTTGATAATGATGCTTTTATTCTGAAAGTTTACCGGATGTTGACGGCGAATTAGCCAGCTGACGCACACGTGCGGTAAAAGAAGCAAGGCTGAAGTCATGTCCAAAGCAAGTACGTCTACAAATACTGTGATAGATCTATAATCCTGGTATATGTGTGCATATAATCGGCTGAAATGTTTTCTTGGTTTGTTTACAGAGCAAAAACGAGCTAAACGTCTTGGTTTTCTCGGGAGATTTAAGGTAAGCCCCATCTTGGCTAACTAAGTAGCTAACTTTTACTTCAGGCATCACTTGTCTGATGATTCTCGTCTGTCACTCACACAGATTCATGTGTATTTCAACGAAAGGTTATAACTTTACCAGGGATATATATATTTTCCGTTCTGAAAATATTTTAACTCTATTTAATCGCTTGGTTTAGTAAGTAGCTGTCAAAGTTCCCATCTGCTGTATGTAAGAATAAACGAATATCAATTCAGCTTCTTTACTTTGCTGTAGATCTGTCTTTTGGTATCCTAAAAATATATAAATATCGTTTTCTCTACTTGATGATGAACTCTGAAGGACTGGGATCTTAAGGTGTGGTCATTGTGTTGAGCTGGGATCCTCTTTAATCCCTTTAAAAATATGTTTGCTTTTCTTTCAGACTAAAGATGGGCGGAAAGCTGATGGCTCAGGGTCAGCAAACAATGCAAAGCAGCCTGCTGCTCACCAGGTCAAGGACTCCAGAAACCCAGAGGATGTCAGGAAGCAAAGGGTAACCTTCTTTGCTTTTTAAGGTCCATTTCTGAGTCACATTTTGCCAACAAGAACCAAATTCCTAACAATAACTTCTAGTTCGGCTTTTACAAGCCATAAGTTTATAAGATTATACAGATTTGTGTTGTCATTAGGGCTGAAACAATCATGATTTACTGATTATTGAAATAACCATGTATTGAATTTTATCTTTAATAATTTTTTTTATTTTATTTGCATGTTTAACCATTTTGCTTATACACAGACGATGAGAATTGGCTTTGTAACTCCTACAAGCCGCATTTTTTTTCAGGGCCCACTTTAAATCAAAAAAGGAAGAAACGCTTTGCCTGTAGATACATACATCAATAACCACCATTATAAAAATAATATAATGTTATGCATTTGAAATAATATATTATTTCAAATGCATAATGTAACAATCTTATGCATTTAAAACATTGCTATCCCTGTTCATAAGCATAAAAAACCCTTTTATAATAAAGGTATTTTTAAACTCACAGCATCCAATTAGTCGAATTTTATAGAATAGTTTGATGCAAAGCAATATTTTCGTTATTTTTTTAAAGATTTTTTAAAATGCGAGAAAAAAAAGCAAAAAAAACTGCAGTGTTTTGGTTGATGTTATGTTTTACCCTAGAATAAAGTCACTGCTAGTTAAACCTATATAAAGATTATAGTTACAGTTAGACTTATCAGCTGTGTACTTTAACTAGAATAGCTCAATTTTATATTTGTATATTTCCCTTATAATGTATATTATTAATTACCAAATATGTAAAGATACAATATAATATGGGCTTATATAAAATAAATCAATGTCGTCAAGTGACGTTTCAGCTCCTTGAAGGATTTTATCCTTTCCTGTTTTGAATATTTGAACCTCTAATTGTTTTTTTAATGGCTTTTTGAAGGCTAGGGGTAAGAATATCCCCAGGGAATGGGATTTAAACCTAAGGGGGGTCAATTTAAGGCTATAATATACTTTTCTTTTTAGCTCCAAGCTCTTCAGGAAAAGCAGAAACTGTCCAGAGAGCGCGAGATGTTGAAGAGGAGAAATTTACAGACCTTTCAGAATGACATCCTACAACGACAAAGAGAGTTTGAGCTGAAGGTAAATGA